CTCTGAGGACACACACTGACTCTGAGGACACACACTGTCTCTGAGGACACACACTGTCTCTGAGTTGAAGTTTATAAAAGTTTTAAATTGTGTAAAAATGTTCAGTACCTCGTCAGTAGACTGGTTCAGAATCGGGAAGTTCTTTTCCAAACGGTCGAGACCGAACTGAGCGAAATTGTTGGCAACTTCAACTGAGGAGTTAAAAACATTAATGCATCGTTAATATTCATCATCAAAGCGCATCGATGCTGGTTTGATGATCATTAGCATTATTAGCAGTAGCATTATTAGCAGCAGTAGCATCATTAGCATTTTTAGCAGTAGCATCATTAGCATTATTAGCAGCAGTAGCATTTATCTCCACGTACTCTGTGGCTCCAGGCTCTGCAGGATGGGCGTGGCTTGCTTCATGGCCACTAGGGAGACGCTGCGAACTCCGACCTCGGCAGCTCCTCCCATCAGCCCCAGCAGAGGATAACGACCTGTGACCTCCGAGTACACCGAAGTCACCGACTGCAGCGCCGAGCGAACCAGAGGCAGACGAGAGACTCTGAGCACGGCACTGACCTGAGAGCGAGGCAGAGAGAGAGAGAGAGATGCATGGTAAGCTCTGTGGCCGACATCATGTCACCTTTAAATGTTAGCGGCTAAAATGGCACCGCCCTGCTGGCTGCAAGCAGTATGACACCAAATGAACAGTTCCTGGTCTCATTGTGACGTCACACACTGAACTACCATTAATCACTGAAATGAGTCAAACAATTGTCAAATGTCTCAAACATAAGGAGACTAGGAGGGACATTTAGGTTTCTGAGATCCAGACATTTTTCTTCTCACAAAATCGGAGCTCTTGTGATGTTTACGCTGAATCAGGTGAATCTGGGGGTCAGGACTCGTCCGAACTCACCTCATGATTTTGTCGATCTGACATATCTCCGTCACTGAATCTGGGAAGAGATGAGCAGAGGTCAGAGGTCGTGACGTCACGAGGCCTCAGCATGAGGCAGTCAGCTGCTGCTGCATCATAAAGACCTCGACTGTTCTGCTGAAACCAGCATGAAAATGAGAGCGACACAAAACGCACATGAAACCGATTCTTCACGAGCACAGAGACCGTGAAGAAGAAAATCATCTCAAGAGAGGAAATAAAAATCTGCTTCAAAAGATCAAACTGTTCTCTCAGAATCTTTGCCAGTCCTGATCCTGATCCTGAACCTGAACCTGAACCCGAATCTGAACCCAATCCTGGTCCTGATCCTGATCCTGATCCTAATCCGAATACTAATCCTAATCCTAAACCTGATCCTGAACCCGAATCTGAACCCAATCCTGGTCCTGATCCTGAACCTGGTTAAGGTCCTGATCCTGATCCTG